GTCTGGTCCAGGAGCTTGCCTGGTCCAAGAGCTTGCCTGGTCCAGGAGCTTGCCTCGTCCAGGAGCTTGCCTGGTCCAGGATCTTGCCTGGTCCAGGAGGATGCCTAGTCGAGGAGCTTGCCTGGTCCAGGAGCGTGCATGGTCCAGGAGCTTGCCTGGTCCAGGAGCTTGCTTGGTTTAGAAGCGTGCCTGGTCCAAGAGCTTGCCTGGTCAAGGAGCGTGCCTGGTCCAAGAGCTTACGTGGTCCAGGAGCTTGCCTGGTCCAGGAGCTTGCCAAGTCCAGGAGCGTGCCTGGTCCAGGAGCGTGCCTGGTCCACGAGCTTGCCTGGTCCAGGAGCTTGCGTGGTCCAGGAGCTTGCTTGATCCAGGAGCTTGCCTGGTCCAAGAGCTTGCGTGGTCCACGAGCCTGCCTGGTCCAAGAGCTTGCCTGGTCCATGAGCGTGCCTGGTCCACGAGCGTGCCTGGTCCAGGAGCTTGCCTGGTCCAGGAGCTTGCCTGGTCCAGGAGCTTGCCTGGTCCAAGAGCTTGCCTAGTCAAGGAGCTTGCCTGGTCCAGGAGCTTGCCTGGTCTAGGAGGGTGCATGGTCCAGGAGATTGCCTGGTCCAGGAGCTTGCTTGGTCGAGAAGCCTTCCTGGTCTAAGAGCTTGCCAGGTCGAGGAGCGTGACTGGTCCAAGAGCTTGCGTGGTCCACGAGCTTGCCTGGCCCAGGAGCTTGCTTGGTCCAGAAGCGTGCCTGGTCGAAGAGCGTGCCTAGTCCACGAGCGTGCCTGGTCCAGGATCTTGCCTGGTCGAGGAGCGTGCTTGGTCCACGAGTTATCCTGGTCCAGGAGCTTGCCTGGTCCAGGGGCTTGCTTGGTCTAGGAGCTTGCCTAGTCCAGGAGCGTGCCTGGTCCAGGAGCTTGCGTGGTCCACGAGCTTGCCTGATCCAGGAGCTTGCTTGGTCGAAGAGCTTGCCTGGTCGAGGAGCGTGCCTGGTCCAAGAGCTTGCGTGGTCCACGAGCTTGCCTGATCCAGGAGCTTGCTTGGTCCAGAAGCGTGCCTGGTCCAAGAGCTTGCCTAGTCCAGGAGCGTGATTGGTCCAAGAGCTTGTGTGGTCCAGGAGCTTGCCTGGTCCAGGAGCTTGCCTAGTCCAGGAGCCTGCCTGGTCCAGGAGCATGCCTGGTCCGCGAGCGTGGCTGGTCCAGGAGCTTGTGTGGTCCAGGAGCTTGACTTATCCAGGAGCTTGCATGGTCCAAGAGCTTGCCTGGTCCACTAGCCTGCCTGGTCCAAGAGCTTGCCTGGTCCACGAGCCTGCCTGGTCCAGGAGCTTGCCTGGTCCAGGAGCTTGCCTGGTCCAAGAGCTTGCCTTGTCCAAGAGCTTGCCTGGACCAGGAGCTTGCCTGGTCCAGGAGCTTGCCTCGTCCAGGAGCGTGCATGGTCCAAGAGCTTGCCTGGTCCAGGAGCTTGCTTGGTCGAGGAGCGTGCCTGGTCCAAGAGCTTGCCTGGTCCAAGAGCTTGCCTGGTCGAGGAGCGTGCCTGGTCCAAGAGCTTGCGTGGTCCCCGAGCTTGCCTGGTCCAGGAGCTTGCTTGGTCCAAAAGCGTTCCTGGTCCAAGAGCTTGCCTGGTCAAGGAGCGTGCCTGGTCCAAGAGCTTGCGTGGTCCAGGAGCTTGCCTGGTCGAGGAGCTTGCCTGGTCCTAGAGCGTACCTAGTCCACGACATGCCTGGTCCAGGAGCTTGTGTGGTCCAGGAGCTTGTCTGATCTAGGAGCTTGCCTGGTCCAAGAGCTTGCCTGGTCCACGAGCCTGCCTGGTCCAAGAGCTTGCCTGGTCCAGGAGCGTGCCTAGTCCACGAGTGTGCCTGGTCCAGGAGCTTGCTTGGTCTAGGAGCTTGCCTGGTCCAGGAGCTTGCCTGGTTCAAGAGCTTGCCTGGTCCATGAGCTTGCCTGGTCCGGGAGCTTGCCAGGTTCAAGAGCTTGCTTGGTCCAGAAGCTTGCCTAGTCCAAGAGCTTGCCTGGTCCAGGAGCGTGCCTGGTCCAAGAGCTTGCGTGGACCAGGAGCTTGCTTGGAACGTGCCTGGTCCACGAGGCAAGCTCGTGGACCAGGCACGCTCCTGGACCAGGCAAGCTCGTGGACCAGGCACGCTCCTGGACCAGGCAAGCTCGTGGACGAGGAAATCTCGTGGACCACGCAAGCTCGTGGACCAGGCACGCTCCTGGACCAGGCAAGCTCCTGGACAAGGCAAGCTCCTGGACCAGGCAAGCTCCTGGACCAGGCACGCTCCTTGACCAGGCAAGCTCCTGGACCAGGCAAGCTCTTGGACGAGGAAATCTCGTGGACCACGCAAGCTCTTGGATCAGGCAAGCTCCTGGACCAAGCAAGCTTCTGGACTAGGCGAGCTCTTGGACTAGGCAAGCTCTTGGACCAGGCAAGCTCAAGGACCAAGCAAGCTCCTGGACCAGGAAAGCTCCTGGACCAGGCATGCTCCTGGACTAGGTAAGCTCTTGAACCAGGAAAGCTCCTGGACGAGGCAAGCTCCTTGAATAGTCAAGCTTCTAGACTAGGCAAGCTCTTGGAGCAGGCACGCTCCTGGACCAGGCAAGCTCTTGGACCAGGCAAGCTCCTGGACCAGGCAAGCTTCTAGAACATGCATGGTCCTGGACCAGGAGAGCTCCTGGACCAGGCAAGCTCTTGGACCACGCATGCTCCTGGACCAGGCAAGCTCCTGGACCAGGCAAGCTCCAGGACCAAACAAGCTCTTGGACTTAGCAAACTCTTGGACTAGGCACGCTCCTGGAACGGGCAAGCTCCTGGACCAGGCAAGTTCTTAGACCAGGCAAGCTCTTGAACCAGGCAGGCTCGTAGACTAGGCACGCTCCTGGACCAGGCAAGCTCCTGGACAAGGCAAGCTCCTGGACCAGGCAAGCTCCAGGACCTGGCACGCTCCTGGACCTGGCAAGCTCCTAGACTAGGCAAGCTCCTGGACCAGGCAAGCTCCTAGACCAGGCAAACTCGTGGACCAGGCACGCACCTGGACTAGGCAAGCTCCTGGACCAGGCAAGCTCCTGAACCAGGCATGCTCCTGGACCAGGCAAGCTCCTAGACCAGGCAAGCTCCTGGACCAGGCAAGCTTCTGGACCAGGCAAACTCGTGGACCAGGCACGCTCCTGGACCAGGCGAGATCCTGGACCAAGCACGCTCCTAGATCAGGCAAGCTCGTGGACCAGGCAAGCTCCTGGACCAGGCACGCTCGTGGACCACGCACGCTCTTGGACTAGGCAAGCTCTTGGTCCAGGCAGGCTCGTGGACCAGGCACGCTCCTTGACCAGGCAAGCTCCTGGACCAGGCAAGCTCCTGGACCAGGCAAGCTCTTCGACCAGGCACGCTCCTGGACAATGCAAGCTCCTAGACCAGGCAAGCTCTTGGACTAGGCTAGCTCGTGGACCAGGCACGCTCGTGGACCAGGTACGCTCCTTGACCAGGCAAGATCCTGGACCAGGCACGCTCCTAGACCAGGCACGCTCCTGGACCAGGCAAGCTCTTGGACCAGGCAAGCTCCTAGACCATGCAAGCTCTCGGACCAGGCAAGCTCTTGGACCAGGCAAGCTCCAGGACAAGGCAAGCTCCTACACCAGGCAACCTCGTGGACCAGGCAAGCTCGTGGACCAGGCAAGCTCCTGGACCAGGCAAGCTCCTGGTCCAAGCAAGCTCCTAGACCAGGCAAGCTCCTAGACCAAGAAAGCTTCTAGACCAGGCAAGCTCATAGACCAGGCAAGCTCCTGGATCAGGCAAGCTCCTGGACCAGGCAAGCTCCTAGACTAGGCAAGCCCCTGGACCAGGCAAGCTCCTGAACCAGGCAGGCTCGTGGACTAGGCACGCTCCTGGACCGGGCAAGATTTTGGAAATGGCAAGCTCCTGGACCACGCAAGCTCTGGGACCATGCTCACTCATGGACCAGACAAGCTCTTGGACCAGGCAGGCTTGTCGACCAAGCAAGCTCTTGGACCAGGTAAGCTCCTGGATCAGGCAAGCTCCTCGACCACGCAAGCTCCTGGACCAGGCACGCTCGTGGACCAGGCACGCTCCTGGACTAGTCAAGCTCTTGGATCAGGCATGCTTCCGGACCAAGCAAGCTCCTCGACCAGGCAAGCTCCTGGACCACGCAATCTCTTGTTCCAGGCATGCTCCTCGACTAGGCAAGCTCTTGGACCAGGCAGGCTTCTGGACCAAGCAAGCTCCTAGACTAGGCAAGGGAGAATGGGGCGGGCTGATGGAAAGCGGGAGAATGGGGCGGGTTGATGGAAGGAGGGAGAATGGGGCGGGGTAATGGAAGGAGAGAGAAGGGGGCGGGGTGATGGAAAGTGGAAAAATGTGGCGGGGTGATGGAAAGCGGGGGAATGGGGTGGGGTTATGGGAAGCGGGAGAATGGGGCGGGGTGATGGAAAGCGGGAGAATGGGGCAGGGTGATGGAATGAGGGAGAATGGGGCGGGGTGATGGAAGGAGGGAGAATGGGGCGGGGTGATGGAAAGCGGGAGAATGGGGCGGGGTGATGGAAGGAGGGAGAATGGGGCGGGGTGATGGAAAGTGGGAGAATGGGTCGGGGTGATGGAAAGCGGGAGAATGGGGCGGAGTGATGGAAAGCGGGAGAATAGGGCGGGGTGATGGAAAGCAGGAGAATGGGGCGGGATGATGGAAGGCGGGAGAATGGAGCGGGGTGATGGAAAGCGGGAGAACGGGGCGGGGTGATGGAAAGCGGGAGAATGGGGCGGGGTGATGGAAGGAGGGAGAATGGGGCGGGGTGATGGAAGGAGGGAGAATGGGGCATGGTGATGGAAAGCGGGAGAATGGGGCGGGGTGATGGACAGCGGGAGAATGGGGCGGGCTGATGGAAAGCGGGAGAATGGGCCGGGGTGATGGAAGGAGGGAGAATGGGGCGGGGTGATGGAAGGAGAAAGAAGGGGGCGGGGTGATGGAAAGTGGGAAAATGTGGCGGGGTGATGGAAAGCGGGAGAATGGGGTGGGGTTATGGGAAGCGGGAGAATAGGGCGGGGTGATGGAAAGCGGGAGAATGGAGCGGGGTGATGGAATGAGGGAGAATGGGGCGGGGTGATGGAAGGAGGGAGAATGGGGCGGGGTGATGGAAAGCGGGAGAATGGGGCGGGGTGATGGAAGGAGGAAGAATGGGGCGGGGTGATGGAAAGCGGGAGAATGGGGCGGGGTGATGGAAAGCGGGAGAATGGGGCGGGGTGATGGAAAGGGAGAGAATGGGGCGGGGTGATGGAAGGAGGAAGAAAGGGGAGGGGTGATGGAAAGCGGGGGAATGGGGCGGGATGATGGGAAGCGGAAGAATGGGGCGGGGTGATGGAAAGCGGGAGAATGGGGCGGGGTGATGGAAAGCGGGAGAATGGGGCGGGGAGATGGAAAGCGGGAGAAAGCGGAGGGGTGATGGAAAGCGGGAGAATGGGGCGGGCTGACGGAAGGAGGGAGAATGGGGCGGGGTGATGGAAGGAGAGAGAAGGGGGCGGGGTGATGGAAAGTGGGAGAATGTGGCGGGGTGATGGAAAGCGGGAGAATGGGGTGGGGTTATGGGAAGCGGGAGAATGGGGCGGGGTGATGGAAAGCGGGAGAATGGGGCGGGGTGATGGAAGGAGGGAGAATGGGGCGGGGTGATGGAAGGAGGGAGAATGGGGCGGAGTGATGGAAAGCGGGAGAATGGGGCGGGGTGATGGAAGGAGGGAGAATGGGGCGGGATGATGGTAAGCGGGAGAATGGGGCGGGGTGATGGAAAGCGGGAGAAAGGGGCGGGGTGATGGAAAGCGGGAGAATGGGGCGGGGTGATGGAAATCGGGAGAATGGGGCGGGGTGATGGAAAGGGGGAGAATGGGGCGGGTTGATGGAAGGAGGGAGAATGGGGCGGGGTGATAGAAAGCGGGAGAATGTGGCGGGGTGATGGAAAGCGGGAGAAGGGGGTGGGGTTATGGGAAGCGGGAGAACAGGGCGTGGTGATGGAAAGCGGGAGAATGGGGCGGGGTGATGGAAGGAGGGAGAATGGGGCGGGGTGATGGAAGGAGGGAGAATGGGGCGGGGTGATGGAAAGCGGGAGAATGGGGCGGGGTGATGGAAGGAGGGAGAATGGGGCGGGGTGATGGAAAGCGGGAGAATGGGGCGGGGTGATGGAAAGCGGGAGAATGGGGCGGGGTGATGGAAAGCGGGAGAATGGGGCTGGGTGATGGAAAGCGGGAGAATGGGGCGGGGTGATGGAAAGCGGGAGAATGGGGCGGGGTGATGGAAGGAGGGAGAATGGGGTGGGGTGATGGAAAGCGGGGGAATGGGGCGGGATGATGGGAAGCGGAAGAATGGGGCGGGGTGATGGAAAGCGGGAAAATGGGGCGGGGTGATGGAAAGTGGGAGAATGGGGCGGGGAGATGGAAAGCGGGAGAATGGGGCGGGGTGATGGAAGGAGGGAGAATGGGGCGGGGTGATGGAAAGTGGGAGAATGGGTCGGGGTGATGGAAAGCGGGAGAATGGGGCGGAGTGATGGAAAGCGGGAGAATGGGGCGGGGTGATGGAAAGCGGGAGAATGGGGCGGGATGATGGAAGGCGGGAGAATGGAGCGGGGTGATGGAAAGCGGGAGAATGGGGCGGGGTGATGGAAAGCGGGAGAATGGGGCGGGGTGATGGAAGGAGGGAGAATGGGGCGGGGTGATGGAAGGAGGGAGAATGGGTCAGGGTGATGGAAAGCGGGAGAATGGGGCGGGGTGATGGACAGCGGGAGAATGGGGCGGGCTGATGGAAAGCGGGAGAATGGGCCGGGGTGATGGAAGGAGGGAGAATGGGGCGGGGTGATGGAAGGAGAAAGAAGGGGGCGGGGTGATGGAAAGTGGGAAAATGTGGCGCGGTGATGGAAAGCGGGAGAATGGGGTGGGGTTATGGGAAGCGGGAGAATAGGGCGGGGTGATGGAAAGCGGGAGAATGGAGCGGGGTGATGGAATGAGGGAGAATGGGGCGGGGTGATGGAAGGAGGGAGAATGGGGCGGGGTGATGGAAAGCGGGAGAATGGGGCGGGGTGATGGAAGGAGGAAGAATGGGGCGGGGTGATGGAAAGCGGGAGAATGGGGCGGGGTGATGGAAAGCGGGAGAATGGGGCGGGGTGATGGAAAGCGAGAGAATGGGGCGGGGTGATGGAAGGAGGAAGAAAGGGGAGGGGTGATGGAAAGCGGGGGAATGGGGCGGGATGATGGGAAGCGGAAGAATGGGGCGGGGTGATGGAAAGCGGGAGAATGGGGCGGGGTGATGGAAAGCGGGAGAATGGGGCGGGGAGATGGAAAGCGGGAGAAAGCGGAGGGGTGATGGAAAGCGGGAGAATGGGGCGGGCTGACGGAAGGAGGGAGAATGGGGCGGGGTGATGGAAAGCGGGAGATTGGGGCAGGGTGATGGAAAGCGGGAGAATGGGGCGGGGTGATGGAAAGAGGAAAAATGGGGCGGGGTGGTGGAAAGCAGGAGAATGGGGCGGGGTGATGGAAGGAGGGAGAATGAGGCGGGGTGATGGAAGAAGGGAGAATGGGACGGGGTGATGGAAAGTGGGAGAATTGGTCGGGGTGATGGAAAGCGGGAGAATGGGGCGGAGTGATGGAAAGCGGGAGAATGGGGCGGGGTGATGGAAAGCGGGAGAATGGGGCGGGGTGATGGAAAGCGGGAGAAAGGGGCGGGGTGATGGACAGCGGGAGAATGGGGCGGGCTGATGGAAAGCGGGAGAATGGGGCGGGGTGATGGAAGGAGGGAGAATGGGGCGGGGTGATGGAAGGAGAAAGAAGGGGGCGGGGTGATGGAAAGTGGGAAAATGTGGCGGGGTGATGGAAAGCGGGAGAATGGGGTGGGGTGATGGAAGAAGGGAGAATGGGGCGGGGTGATGGAAGGAGGGAGAATGGGGCGAAGTGATGGAAGGAGGGAGAATGGGGCGGGGTGATGGAAAGCGGGAGATTGGGGCAGGGTGATGGAAAGCGGGAGAATGGGGCGGGGTGATGGAAAGAGGAAAAATGGGGCGGGGTGGTGGAAAGCAGGAGAATGGGGCGGGGTGATGGAAGGAGGGAGAATGAGGCGGGGTGATGGAAGAAGGGAGAATGGGGCGGGGTGATGGAAAGTGGGAGAATGGGTCGGGGTGATGGAAAGCAGGAGAATGGGGCGGAGTGATGGAAAGCGGGAGAATGGGGCGGGGTGATGGAAAGCGGGAGAATGGGGCGGGGTGATGGAAAGCGGGAGAAAGGGGCGGGGTGATGGACAGCGGGAGAATGGGGCGGGCTGATGGAAAGCGGGAGAATGGGGCGGGGTGATGGAAGGAGGGAGAATGGGGCGGGGTGATGGAAGGAGAAAGAAGGGGGCGGGGTGATGGAAAGTGGGAAAATGTGGCGGGGTGATGGAAAGCGGGAGAATGGGGTGGGGTTATGGGAAGCGGGAGAATAGGGCGGGGTGATGGAAAGCGGGAGAATGGAGCGGGGTGATGGAATGAGGGAGAATGGGGCGGGGTGATGGAAGGAGGGAGAATGGGGCGGGGTGATGGAAAGCGGAAAATGGGGCGGGGTGATGGAAGGAGGAAGAATGGGGCGGGGTGATGGAAAGCGGGAGAATGGGGCGGGGTGATGGAAAGCGGGAGAATGGGGCGGGGTGATGGAAAGCGAGAGAATGGGGCGGGGTGATGGAAGGAGGCAGAAAGGGGAGGGGTGATGGAAAGCGGGGGAATGGGGCGGGATGATGGGAAGCGGAAGAATGGGGCGGGGTGATGGAAAGCGGGAGAATGGGGCGGGGTGATGGAAAGCGGGAGAATGGGGCGGGGAGATGGAAAGCGGGAGAAAGGGGAGGGGTGATGGAAAGCGGGAGAATGGGGCGGGCTGATAGAAAGCGGGAGAATGGGGCGGGGTGATGGAAGGAGGGAGAATGGGGCGGGGTGATGGAAGGAGAGAGAAGGGGGCGGGGTGATGGAAAGTGGGAGAATGTGGCGGGGTGATGGAAAGCGGGAGAATGGGGTGGGGTTATGGGAAGCGGGAGAATGGGGCGGGGTGATGGAAAGCGGGAGAATGGGGCGGTGTGATGGAAGGAGGGAGAATGGGGCGGGGTGATGGAAGGAGGGAGAATGGGGCGGAGTGATGGAAAGCGGGAGAATGGGGCGGGGTGATGGAAGGAGGGAGAATGGGGCGGGATGATGGTAAGCGGGAGAATGGGGCGGGGTGATGGAAAGCGGGAGAAAGGGGCGGGGTGATGGAAAGCAGGAGAATGGGGCGGGGTGATGGAAAGCGGGAGAATGGGGCGGGGTGATGGAAAGGGGGAGAATGGGGCGGGGTGATGGAAGGAGGGAGAATGGGGCGGGGTGATAGAAAGCGGGAGAAGTGGCGGGGTGATGGAAAGCGGGAGAAGGGGGTGGGGTTATGGGAAGCGGGAGAACAGGGCGGGGTGATGGAAAGCGGGAGAATGGGGCGGGGTGATGGAAGGAGGGAGAATGGGGCGGGGTGATGGAAGGAGGGAGAATGGGGCGGGGTGATGGAAAGCGGGAGAATGGGGCGGGTGATGGAAGGAGGGAGAATGGGGCGGGGTGATGGAAAGCGGGAGAATGGGGCGGGGTGATGGAAAGCGGGAGAATGGGGCGGGGTGATGGAAAGCGGGAGAATGGGGCTGGGTGATGGAAAGCGGGAGAATGGGGCGGGGTGATGGAAAGCGGGAGAATGGGGCGGGGTGATGGAAGGAGGGAGAATGGGGTGGGGTGATGGAAAGCGGGAGATTGGGGCAGGGTGATTGAAAGCGGGGGAATGAGGCGGGGTGATGGAAGGAGGGAGAATGGGGCGGGGTGATGGAAAGCGGGAGATTCGGGCAGGGTGACGGAAAGCGGGAGAATGGGGCGGGGTGATGGAAAGCGAAAAAATGGGGCGGGATGATGGAAAGCGGGAGAATGGGGCTAAGTGATGGAAAGCGGGACAATGGGGTGGGGTGATGGAAAGCGGGAGAATGGGGCGGGGTGATGGAAAGCGGGAGAAAGGGGCGGGGTGATGGAAAGCGGGAGAATGGGGCGGGCTGATGGAAAGCGGGAGAATGGGGCGGGGTGATGGAAGGAGGGAGAATGGGGCGGGGTGATGGAAGGAGAGAGAAGGGGGCGGGGTGATGGAAAGTGGGAAAATGTGGCGTGGTGATGGAAAGCAGGAGAATGGGGTGGGGTTATGGGAAGCGGGAGAATGGGGCGGGGTGATGGAAAGCGGGAGAATGGGGCGGGGTGATGGAATGAGGAAGAATGGGGCGGGGTGATGGAAGGAGGGAGAATGGAGCAGGGTGATGGAAAGCGGGAGAATGGGGCGGGATGATGGAAGGAGGAAGAATGGGGCGGGGTGATGGAAAGCGGGAGAATGGGGCGGGGTGATGGAAAGCGGGAGAATGGGGCGGGGTGATGGAAAGCGAGAGAATGGGGCGGGGTGATGGAAGGAGGGAGAATGGGGAGGGGTGATGGAAAGCGGGGGAATGGGGCGGGATGATGGGAAGCGAAAGAATGGGGCGGGGTGATGGAAAGCGGGAGAATGGGGCGGGGTGATGGGAAGCGGGAGAATGGGGCGGGGAGATGGAAAGCGGGAGAAAGGGGAGGGGTGATGGAAAGCTGGAGAATGGGGCGGGCTGATGGAAAGCGGGAGAATGGGGCGGGGTGATGGAAGGAGGGAAAATGGGGCGGGGTGATGGAAGGAGAGAGAAGGGGGCGGGGTGATGGAAAGTGGGAGAATGTGGCGGGGTGATAGAAGGCGGGAGAATGGGGTGGGGTTGTGGGAAGTGGGAGAATGGGGCGGGGTGATGGAAAGCGGGAGAATGGGGCGGGGTGATGGAAGGAGGGAGAATGGGGCGGGGTGATGGAAGGAGGGAGAATGGGGCGGAGTGATGGAAAGCGGGAGAATGGGGCGGGGTGATGGAAGGAGGGAGAATAGGGCGGGATGATGGAAAGCGGGAGAATGGGGCGGGGTGATGGAAAGCGGGAGAATGGGGCGGGGTGATGGAAAGCGGGAGAATGGGGCTGGGTGATGGAAAGCAGGAGAATGGGGCGGGGTGATGGAAAGCGGGAGGATGGGGCGGGGTGATGGAAGGAGGGAGAATGGGGTGGGGTGATGGAAAGCGGGAGATTGGGGCAGGGTGATGGAAAGCGGGAGAATGGGGCGGGGTGATGGAAAGCGGGAATATGGGGCGGGGTGATGGAAAGCGGGAGAATGGGGCTGGGTGATGGAAAGCGGGAGAATGGGGCGGGGTGATGGAAAGCGAGAGAACGGGGCGGGGTGATGGAAGGAGGGAGAATGGGGCGGGGTGATGGAAGGAGAGAGAAGGGGGCGGGGTGATGGAAAGTGGGAGAATGTGGCGGGGTGATGGAAAGCGGGAGAATGGGGTGGGGTTATGGGAAGCGGGAGAATGGGGCGGGGTGATGGAAAGCGGGAAAATGGGGCGGGGTGATGGAAGGAGGGAGAATGGGGCGGGGTGATGGAAGGAGGGAGAATGGGGCGGAGTGATGGAAAGCGGGAGAATGGGGCGGGGTGATGGAAGGAGGGAGAATGGGGCGGGATGATGGAAAGCGGGAGAATGGGGCAGGGTGATGGAAAGCGGGAGAGTGGGGCGGGGTGATGGAAAGCGGGAGAATGGGGCGGGGTGATGGAAATCGGGAGAATGGGGCGGGGTGATGGAAAGCGGGAGAATGGGGCGGGTTGATGGAAGGAGGGAGAATGGGGCGGGGTGATGGAAGGAGGGAGAATGCGGCGGAGTGATGGAAAGCGGGAGAATGGGGCGGGGTGATGGAAGGAGGGAGAATGGGGCGGGATGATGGAAAGCGGGAGAATGGGGCAGGGTGATGGAAAGCGGGAGAATGGGGCGGGGTGATGGAAAGCGGGAGAATGGGGCGGGGTGATGGAAATCGGGAGAATGGGGCGGGGTGATGGAAAGCGGGAGAATGGGGCGGGTTGATGGAAGGAGGGAGAATGGGGCGGGGTGATAGAAAGCGGGAGAATGTGGCGGATGATGGAAAGCAGGAGAAGGGGGTGGGGTTATGGGAAGCGGGAGAATGGGGCGGGGTGATGGAAAGCGGGAGAATGGGGCGGGGTGATGGAAGGAGGGAGAATGGGGCGGGGTGATGGAAGGAGGGAGAATGGGGCGGGGTGATGGAAAGCGGGAGAATGGGGCGGGGTGATGGAAGGAGGGAGAATGGGGCGGGGTGATGGAAAGCGGGAGAATGGGGCGGGGTGATGGAAAGCAGGAGAATGGGGCTGGGTGATGGAAAGCGGGAGAATGGGGCGGGGTGATGGAAAGTGGGAGAATGGGGCGGGGTGATGGAAGGAGGGAGAATGGGGTGGGGTGATGGAAAGCGGGAGATTGGGGCAGGGTGATGGAAAGCGGGAGAATGGGGCGGGGTGATGGAAAGCGGGAAATGGGG